TTACCCTTTCCTCTTTACGATGTAGATATATCAAAAGACTCCTCTAAGTCTTCATAAAACATAGAACACATCGATATCTACAATTAACCCCTCCCCCCACTAAAATAGCGTAATACAGTTCGGTATAAACCTCAGGATAAAATTCTATATTGCACTCACAAACACAAATTGATAGTAGGCCTTAAGCTCCTCAAATCCAGGACTCTCCTCTTTTCCTTGTTCTCACATCCAATACATATAACATATGTCACTGGTAAAAAGTTAAAAATACAAACAAACAAAAAATCAAAACACACAACTACATTTATTGGTTACACTCACAAGATTTAAAAACAGAATGAGCATATCACCATAACCACTGGATCTCCATTTAGAAAGATTCTCTGGGGGTTGGAGCAGCGATCAGCAGTAAAACAAATAAAATTGATAATTAAATAATGGCTACATGTTTCTTCCATCTTCATGGACCATCTTTTGTCCAATCTCAGCAGCCGTGACAAATGGCGGCTGTGAGATTCAGGCTGTCTATAAAACAATCATGTATGATCGCACCATAGATGTCCATTGAGCACAGTGTTGTCCTCTCGTGCATAGGCGAGAATATAACACTGACATGGCTGCTGACAACTAAAGCTGGACAAAGATGGCGGTGGTCATGAGGGATAGCTTGAGGTAAGTAAAACTTAACTTCCACAGGACCCATACTGAATTTATCAATTTTGGGGGTCTTTGCTTTAAATATGCTTTAAAGGAACACTCAATTTTTTTTTTTTTAGCTTTAGCCTCCAAAACCCATTTTTAATTTAAACAAAATTAACTAATCTATAATACAGCACCAGGATGACCTGTACACCCAGAACTCTGTTTCACTCCCACAAGATCAACAATACTGATAATCTCAAACCAATCAAATTGGAGAACTACATCGTATGCACAGCAATTGTCACACTCCGCCAATTGAATGTTTCATTCAAAATAAGAGAGCTGGGAACCTTACCACCTATTTGATAGATAGCCTTTGGTTATTAATGCCATTTATAAAAGTGCCAATATTTCTTGAAATCAGCATTTTTTTAATAGGTCTGTTATTCTCTAAAACGGATCAGCAAACTGTAGCATTCCTTCAAAGGTTGCTGAATTTACAGAATCATTAACTCTGCAATTCTGAACAATTTGTTAAAACATTCACAATAATCACACCCTTGCAATGGTCACATGCCTTTTGCTTCTCAAGGAACACTAAATGAACCTATTCCTTCTACAAATTTTCACACTATGACCCTGGCAGTATTATTCACTGTAGTGCAAATTGTTTGGAATCCAAAAAATGCCAGACCAAAATAGCCTAAGAAATAAAACAACTCAAAAAAACAAAAACATAGCTGACTTGCATATTAACCCCTTCTGTTACAGCAGTGCATTTGTACGGTCTGTATTTATTTTTTGCCCTTAAAGGGTTACATTTGTTTTAAAAATCTGTGTCTTGGTCTGTCTGTCTGTTTCCTTCCCCCAAATCTCCATTAGATTTTTGTGACAGGAGTTAGTTTAGGGATTGCTGTTTAATCTGTTTTAGTAAAAAAAAAAGAAAAAAAAAAGAAAAGAAAAAAAAGTAAAAAACAATTTGTGTGTTTGTAATTTGTTTTAGTCGTGTGTAAAACATGCAGCATATGTATAACTTGCAAGAGGCATATGCCTTCTTGGCGTCAGACTCTGACGCCACTGAGTCAGATTTTGACCCAGGTCAGTTTTCTGGCACGTCTAGTCAAGACGACATGTCATCTGTGTGTGAACCAGCTGAAGAAAGAAGCTGTGCTTCCTCTGCTACGCCGAATGTGGAGGAGGACTGGGTACCTCCACAGTAAGCCGAGCCCAACGTCCCCACTTTTAGTGCCAACGCAGGCATTAATGTTAATGTGGATGGCTTCTCCCCAATGCAGTATGTAGAACTATTTTTAGGGGATACCATCTGGGAGGAGATTGCTTCCCAGACTAACTTGTATGCTACCCAATTTATTGATGATAATCCAGGTAGCTATACAGTCAGGGAGCATGACTGGCATTCCACAGATGTCCCAGAGCTTAAAAAATTCTGGGCTCTTACAATGATCATGGGGATTATAAAGTCATACTGTAGCACCAACCCAATAATGTCTAGTCCAGTATTCTCTCAAACCATGTCTAGAAGCAGATACGAGTTACTGCTGAGATTTTTACATTTCAGTGACAATACCCTCTGCCACCCTAGAGATCACTCCCAATATGATAGGCTTTATAAAATACGCCCACTGCTAGACCATTTTCAGGACACATTTTCGGATGTTTATACCCCCCAACAAAATGTATCCATAGATGAATAATGAAATACAAAGGGAGATTAGGGTTCAGACAATACACCCTCTCAAAGCGCTCTAGGTAAGGTATAAATCTGTACAAACTGTGCAAGAGCGAAAGTGTATACACATTTGCCTTTTGTGTACATGAGGGGAAAGATGGTCAACTGGACCCTCCTGGCTGTCCTGACTCCCTGGGGACAAGTGGGAAACTTGTATGGGACCTACTAAACCCCTTGTTTAATAAAGGTTACCACCTTTATGTGGATAATTTTTATAGTAGTGTCCGTAGGTTTAAAACACTTTATGGTTTACAGACACTGGCCTGCGGCACTGCCAGAAAAAATTCCAAAGACTTTCCACAAGCTCTCAGAGGCAAAATTTAAAAAAAAAAAGGCAAATGTAAAGCACTTTGAAAAGCTGAAGTGCTTGCACTAAAATTTAGGGACAGGAAGGATGTCAACATGCTAACCACCATCCATGACGAACGCATATCAGACGTCTCTGTCCGGTGCAGAGTAGAGTACAAACCGGTTTGCATCAGAGCGTATAATAAGTACATGGGGGGTGTTGATTTGGCTGATCAGCTGATGCAGCCATATCTTATTTTACAAAAAAATCAAAGCATGGTATAAAAAGGTGGCTATCTATATGATGCAAATAGCAACCCACAACTCATTTTTGCTTTTAAAAATAATCTAGGGAAAACCACCTTTCTCTAATTTCAGTTGAAAATAATGTCCTTAACAATTTATGGAGATGGACAATTTCCAACAACGGTGCAAGCTGAATCCAGAAATTTTATTTTTACGTTACCGCCGACTGCTAGAAACCCCTCCCCCCCCCACCCCCAAAACGTTGCCGGGTCTGTTTTAAAAACGAGAAAAGGACAGACATCCCTTTTCACTGTCCTGATTGCCCTTCGAAACCAGGACTGTGTGTAGGAACATGTTTCAAGCTGTACCACACAGAACAGTTGTAAGAAGTGTTCCTGAATTATTTTATTTTTTGTTTCTTTGGAAAGCAGCCATTTTTTGTTAGTCAGTTTCCTTCCCCCAAATCTCCAGTTAGATTCTATTTGCAGGAGTCAGTTTAAAGATTGCTGCTAAATGTACATTTGCTACCTGCACATTTGGTCTAACAAGTTTTCTGGCAGTAACACATAACCAGCTGGCCAAAACCAGCTGATGTGTGCATAAAAAGCAGAATTTAAAAATTACCACTACACACTGTTTTTTGGGGGGGCAAAATGGTTGGGGGAAAGAAGTCAAAACACCCCATCTTCTATAACCTTTGATGTCTACTTTATAAAAATATATACTATTTATACTGTCATGATGGTAACATTAACCTATATTTTAAGTTGAAAAACTGACATGTACAAGTTCTGATTGTTGCCTTTTGGCCCCCAAACCACCCAGCAACCCTATACATGGGGGGTATCACTGTACTCAGGAGATGTTGCTGAACACATATTGGGGTGTTGTTTGGCAGTGACGCATAACAGGATCTATTAATTCATGCCTAAAATACCATGTGTGTGACAAAGAAACAAAAAAAAAAAGATTACTACCCAAAAATTTGACAAAGGCTGGTGGTAGAATTCAGTGCATGAAAAGTGTTAAAATACCACCATTTAAAATACCCTGGGTTGTCTACTTTTCAAAAATATATGGTTTGATGGGGGTAAAATACATTGGCGCAGGTTGATTACATTCAAAATTCCAAGTTGGGAAACTCATAAACGCACCTGCCAAATGTGGCCTTTTAACCCCCAAAGAACCAGACAAGCCTATGCATGGGTGGTATCACTGTAGTCATGAGATCTTGCTGAACACATATTGGGGTGTTTGGCAGTGATAAATAACAGGATCTGTTAATTCATGCCTAAAGTACAATGTGTGTGAAAAAAAAAACAAAAAAAAAATTACTAACTCAATGTTTGACAAAGCCTGGTGGTAGAATTAGTGCATGGAAAGTGTTAAAATACCACCATGAGAAATACCCTAGGGTGTCTACTTTTCAAAAATATGGTTTGATGTGGGTAAAATACATTGGCCGGCTTCAAAAATGTCCCAAATAGGACATGCATGCAGGTTGACTACATGTCAAAATTCCAAGCTGGGAAACTGATATGCGCACCTGCAAAATGTGGCCTTTTAGCCCCCAAACAACCCAACACACCTATACATGGGGGGTATCCCTGTACTCGGGAGATGTTGCTGAACACATATTGGGGTATTGTTTGGCAGTGACACATAACATGATCTGTTAATTCATGCCTAAAGTACAGCTAAACACAAACACCACAAAAGTGTTAAAAGATCTCTAGTCCATGAAGCACAAACATCGCAAAAACAGTCCGGTCCTGAAGGGGTTAACACACTGTACATAATATTAACATGGCCTCCTATGTATAGTGCCAGTGCGGTGCCCTGTGCACACAGCCAGGCTGCCAGTATTAACCCCTGTGTATAAACCTCTGTGTAAGTATTGTCCCCTGTGTCCGTATAGAGCCCTGTGTTATTATAACCCCTCTATACAGAGCCAGGCGGCCAGTATTAACCCCTGTGTAGAGAGCCCTGTGTCAGTGTTGCCCCCCCCCTCTCCCTGTGTCAGTGTTGCCCAGTGTTGCCCCCCCCCTCTCCCTGTGTCAGTGTTTTTGGAATTCTTGAACCTTCAGCATCCAGACATTAAATTGACAAGTGAGTATAGTGCATCCAACATTAACTTCCTGGACTTGAATATCTATGTAGACAATGAAGGGATTAAGACCAAGACTTTCTTTAAGAAGGTCGACGTCAATGGTTACATAGAAACGTCCAGTTGCCACTATGAATCCTGGTTACGAAGCATCCCTAAGGGCCAGTTCCTTAGGCTGTTTAGGAACTGTAGTGATGCTGAAGTGTTTGAAGAACAGGCAGTTTGCTTGAGGGACAGGTTTGTAGAGAAGAAATATGACGCCAAGGAATTGGACAGTTGCATTAATTCCATCAAGAAGATGGACCGAAGTAAGGTTCTGAAGAAAAGGATACCTAGGGAGGAGAAGAAGGGTGCAGACCAGGTACCAATTATTTTGAATTATAGTGAAGATGCCAAACAAATTAAGCATATTATCAATAGACATTGGCGTATCCTTAAACTAGATCCGAATCTGAGGGAAATTATTGGTGATAGGCCACGTATTATTTATAGAGGGGCAAAAAACTTAAAACAACATCTAACTACAAGTTTTATTAGGGATAAAGGGGAAGGGAAAAACTTCTTTGGACTAGAAAAGGGTTTTTATCCCTACAAATCCTGTCTAGCCTGTAAGAGAACAATATTTGATAAACATAAACAGACAGAATTTACCTCTCACTCTACTAATCGCATATTTAAAATTCATCAGGTTCTAACCTGTAATTCCACTAATGTCATATACCTCCTCTGGTGCCCATGTGGTCTGCAATACATTGGAATGACC